CATCTCAACTGAGAAAATGCCTCCGTTAATAGCAGGCTGCAACCAAGCATGTGGACATTTTCTTAGTTAATTAATTCATTAATTAGTGATACAGGAGGACTCAGCTCATGGTGGGGGGTGCCATCCCTAAGCTGGAGGTCATAGGTTCCATAAGAAAGTAGGCTGAGCTAGGTGGTGCATGCCTTTAATCCCAGCGCTAAGGAGGCAGAGGCAGGAGAATCTCTGTGAGTTCAAGGCCAGCCTGGTCTATAAACGAGTTCCACCACAGCTAGGACTGTTATATAGTTGTCAAAGTTTAACTTTAAAAATGTCTAAAAATGCTGGGCATGGTGGCCCACACCTTTAATCCCAGCACTGGGGAGGCAGAGGCAAGCAGATCTCTGTGAGTTCCAGGCCAGGCAAGGATACATAGTGATACTCTGTCTTGTTTATTTATTTATTTTTGTTTGTTTTTTGAGACAGGGTTTCTCTGTGTAGCCCAGGTTGTCCTGTAGACCAGACTGGTCTTGAACTCACAGGGATTTGCCTGCCTCTTCCTCTGCCTCCTTAAAGTTGGGATTAAAGGTGTGTTCCACCACCAATCGGCAGTGAAACCTTGTTTTAGGAAGGAAAAAAGGGAAGGAAGGGAGGGAGGGATGGGGGTTGGAAGGCCATAATAAAATGCACTACTATGTATACTAATTCAACAGTATTAATAATACATAATTTAATTGGTCCTTTGGCAGTACCAGGCTACTGTTTCAGAATAAAAGTTCACTACCTCCAGAATTTTTTTATGTTGGATAATTTTATACTTTTTAAAATCCAGGCTACTCTTTTTGTCTGTTTGTTTGAGACAGCCTTTCTCTTTGGAGCCTGTTCTGGAACTCACGCTGTAGACCTAGCTGGCCTTGAACTCACAGAGCTCCACCTGCCTCTGCTTCCTAGTGCTGGGATTAAAGGCGTGCACCACCACTGCCCTGCAATCCAGGTGCTTACGACTGGAGGAAGGATATGCAATCATTATCCCATCACACAGATTGTATAATTAAGGCCTCTAGAAGCCAAATAACTGCACATTGAGTAGCATAGCAAGGATTTGAATCCAGCAGTCAGCCCCCAAGTCCCTCACCCAAGTCCATCATCTCATTGATGATGGCACACAGAAGAAGTCAGGAAAAGGTGTTCATAGTTGGAAATCCAAGTGGAAATGTCTATCATGAAGCCAGAAATGCCAAAAAACAGAGATACTTTCAGGACAAGGAGCCATCTGCATGGGACAAGGGTTGATGTAAAACCTCTGAAAGACCCAAATCCTCCAATCTACAAGGTGAACTGAACAGAGGCAGAAACTTACCTTGGCCTGAATAATGATCTTTAACTGACAAAAATGCCTTTACTTACCCGGAACTGAATGCACTTGTCAATGCAGGCATTTGAGTTCTGGCTTACTTATCAGGAGTGCCGTGGACGGAGCGGAGCTCAGCTGCCCGCTGCTCCTTACTGCTGGGGAAGATTCTGGCTGTGCATAACAATTAGAACATGACCTCAATCTCCCAGCAGCTACCAGTGTGCTAGGCTATGCTGACCCAGCAGAACTGCGCAGAATCTGAAATGAAGTTCCCAGGGCCCATAGCTGCTCTAACACCTCTAACCTCAGAATAGCTAGTCCTCGGGAACAAGAGAGGATGCTTACCTTCCCAGCACTGGGAAAGAAGAAAGCAGGGAAGGGGGTGGATGGCATGGACTCCAAATAATAGAACAATGAAATAAGAGCTCACCCTTTGCCAGGCAAATGCTGCCTGTAAATTATCTCATTTGAGGCAAGTTCATTGCGGGTCTGCATCTACCCTAACAGCATAATGTTCTTGAAAAAAAAAAAAAAAAAAAAAAACTTGGTAACAGTGAAGCTGTATTGGCATCTGCCAAATGTTTTAGCTGATTGTTTAGGTGATTGCTTTGGTCTGACTTCTTACATTTTTATTTCCAACTTTAAGACAAGGTCTAGTAAAGGTCGGCTTCGTAATACAGCTAGCTAGAATATTCTTGAGCCCATGACAATGCTATAATTTGGGGCTAGAAAGATGGCTCAGTGGTTAAGAGCATTGGCTGCTCTTCCATAAGTCCTGGGTTCAGTTCCCAGCAGCCACAGGACAGCTCACAGCTGTCTGTAACTCCAGGTCCAGGGCTTCTGACACCCTCACACAGGCAAAACACCAATGGACAAAAAAAAAAAAAAAAAAAAAAAAAAAAAAAAATTAAAAATAAATAAGAAAATGCTATAATTCACAAGCAAGTGACACCCAGGTAATAGATCAGTCTTGTGGGAAAGAGATCTGCCTGGCAGATGACCTGAGAGGTCACGTGTATGAAAAAGAGCCATCTTTGAGTCCCTACTGCCCTCTGTGGCAGGAAGGTATTTATGTAGTCCTAGGAATGGGCCAACCTAAGCCTTCTTGATCCAACAGCTCATTGTTGATGTGCAGCTGCATGAAAAGAACGAACAGTAGAGATGGCCCACCTCATTTTGTGCTTTGCAGATAGTCACTGTTTACAAAGGTAAGGTTTGTAGCAGCCCTACATCAAACAAGCTGTTGCCACCATCCTTCCACAACCAAGCACGCACTCTCTCTGTCTCGTTTTTGATTGCTTCTCCAACTTCACAGACGTTACTATTATCATATCTATCATGGTGACCTGTCCACCAGGGAACTTTGACGTCATTACTGCCGTTATTTAGAAGCATCGCAAATCATGCCTATGAAAGGCAGCAAACTAAGCTTGGTGTGCCTCTTATCTGCCCATTAGCCAGCTATTTCTCTGCCTCTTTTTCTTCTCTCCGTGGACTACCCTGCTACTTGCAACACAATATTATAATATGGTTCATTAATAGCCCCACAATGGCCTCTATGTGTCCGGATGCAAGAAAGACTTGCAGGTATCTTAGTTTAAACCGAAGCTAGGTCAGGCATTACACCCATAATCCCAGCTTTGTGTAGGCTGAGGCAGGGACATCTCTCAGAAACACAAACAAACCACCACCACAAAATGAACTACAAAATACACAGATGATTATGACTAGGTGAGGAAGGTATGCTGAAAGCCGAGATGGGCCAAAAGCTAGGTCTCTTAGCCAAATATTTAGCCAAGTGACAAATCTGATGGAAAAGGTTTTTAGGGAGGTTGGGCAACCATGAGTTCAAGGCTAGTCTGGACTATGTAGCAAGACCCTGTCTTGAAAGTAAAGGAAAAGAAAAAAGAAAAAGAAAAAGAAACATTGATGATAGGGAGAAAGTCCTAGTCATCTGGACAAACAGCTGTAGTATTCCTTTCAATGGATGAGTACAGAGGAGAGCCAACTCTGATGCAGAGCATGTATTAGACTGAGGAAGCTACCGGAGAGTTTAAACTGCATGGCTTAAAGGGAAGAAGCCCTCCCAATGACAAAGTAAGATAGAGGCTGTGGATACAGCTCAGAGAAGCAGCGATCTCCTGCCGAAAGCCCAAGGGTCAACCCTATAACAACAGAAGCACAACAAAGCAAAAAAGACGTAAAAGGTCCAGGAAAGAACATTGGGTGCCTTGAGTTGTGAGCTCCTGATGTGAGTGCTAGAAACTAAACTCAGGTCTTAAGAGCAGTGTGAACGCTTAACTGCAGAACCATCCCTCCAGATTCACTAAGCTACATAGCTTTAAAGAGTGTGTCTTAAATTCTTTGAGATTATAATTACATCACTTCCCCCTTCCCTTTCTTCCCTCTAAACCCTCCCATATATTCCCCGGACACCCTGTTCTCTTTCATATTGAAGGGTTTCCTCTTAAATTGATGAGCAAGCTGTGTTTATGTACTTAGGGAATGTATGTGTGTGTATATGCATATGTATATGAAATTAAAGAGTATATTTTGGAAAAAAACAAATGTTTGCTTGAGGAAATATTTACAAATGAAATATCTGAGGTCTCACAATAAATCAGAAGAGTTGAAAGGAAGCTGTTCAGAATAGGTTTGTATTTTTGTCCTTTTGAACTGCTTTTTACAAATGAAAAAGTTTTATATCTTATTCAGCTTTTTTTTTTTTTTTTGAGACATCTCATGTAGTCCAAGCAGGCCTCTCTTTCTATAGCCAAGAAAAATCAACATTTGATCCTCTTTATTTCTGCCACCATGTAACTTTTGTCAATTATGAAACCAGACATGGTGGCACACACCTTTAACTCCAGAGGCAGATGAATCTCCAAGTTTGAGTTCAGCCTAGTCTACAGAGCAAGCTCCAGGGCAGCCAGTACTACACAAGAGAAACTGACTCTATTTTTTTTTTTAAATTATGTGTATGTGTACACTGTACACGTAGTCACACATGGGGAAGCCAGAAGAGAGTATCAAATCCCCTGGAGATGGAGTTACAGGCAGCTAAGCAGCCCATCTTGGAGACCAAACTGGGGTGCTCTAGAAAGGCAGCAGTCAGCTCTTAACCACTAAAGAATCTCTAGCACACCAGTTATAAATTTAAAAGATTAATAAAAATAATTTCACCTCCCAAACATAACCTTCTAACAGCAAAGTGAAAGAGCACAATCTCTTTTAAACAACCACGACAAAATTAAAAGCTTATGTGCACAGCTAATTGAGAAGATCAGAAGCCTCATGAATTTGAGGCTACCCTGGGCTAAATAGTGAGATGCAAGTTTCTCAGCAAGTTCAACAGGGAGAACTGGGATTAATTCAGTTGGTAGAGTACTTGTCTAGCACATACGGCCCTGGTTTTTAGCCAGTGCACCAACTAAAACTGCACAACCCTAACCCTGGCACATGTGAGACGGAGACCAGAGACCAGAAGCTCACACTCTCAGCTACACAAGAGAGCTTGAGGCCACCCTAGGAATATAAGACTGTTTCCATGAAGAGAAAAATCCAGCGTCTAAAGATAAGGCTTCACGATAGAGGCTTGCCAGCATTACAAGGCCGTGGCCTAGCATCACAAAACCAACAAACACCCTTACACGTGTACTTTAATTAAATGCTTTATTTTTAAATGTCATTTAGTGTATGTGTGTGTATCTACATGAAATCCATGCTGCATATATGGAAGACAGATTCTGGGTTCTTCTCTCCTTTGGCCACAAGGGACCAGGGGATCAAACTCAGGTCCTCGGGATTGGCAGAAAGCCTCTTTAATCACTGAGTCATCTCATCCATTTTCTAAGTTCTGAAACTTTTTCTTCTTTTACAGAGTTCCAAAAATAAGAATAGGAACAAATTTGATTACAAATATTTGCATGTTTTAAAGTGTACTCCAATAGTATTTTGAAATTATTTTTTCAGCCGCTTCTTTAGGCTCTCAAGGTGCTCCACACCGACATCTTGCAATTCAAGTACCATGGCTCTACAGGAAGAAGGGTTAAATGAAATAGTCATTAGGCAACACAAATCTATCAGATCTCGCTGACATTTTTGTAACCCTTTTAGGAAGTTTTGATATTTAAGAGGGTCCTTTTTTAACTGTTTCATTTCTGGTACTGAAAACCCTATCATACTGGTAAGTATTTCATCTATAAAATCTACATCTAGATATGCAGTACCATCAGAAACCTTTGCCGTTACACACCAACAGCCACCAGAGCTTGAAAGATTTCCAGTTAAAGTGACAATAAAGGCTTTGACTTTCACAGTGGTGACTTCCTTCGGCTTTCTGGCCATTAGAACAGCCAAATAGATAAAGGGTGGAGAGTTTAAGTCCATGTCAACAGAAAGATCAGGAATATTCTCAAACGATTTTGAAGAACAAGCCTGTAAAGGGTAACTATTTTCATCAGAACTCTCTGAACTCTTTTTTGATAGACAGGTTCCTTGTTTTCTCTTTAGCATTTTACTACTTAAGCAATGTTCATCTGAACTGTCGATGTTTTGTTTTGTTGTAATATCTACTCCCAAAGTCCTACTGTCATTTGTAAAGTCATGGGCTAGGAGTCTCTTATGAAGGTCTCTGGCAGATGGACAGCCAAAAAGTTTATCTTCATGAATTATTTGTTCAGATAATTTTGTTTCATTGCAATTGCTGTTTCCTTGTTTATGAATCAAAGCACTGTTGTTCTGAGTCTTAGGTTTATCTGAAAATATCTCTGCATATTTATCTGTGTTTTTCTTCAAAGTTGATGGCTGCAATGCTTGTGTTTCCATCTGTTCTTTCTGGACAGTTTCTTCTAAAAGCAAGGCCTCTTCCAGTGAAAAGTCATCAAACTCTTCATTAGTGAAATGCACAGATTGGTTTTGTTTCTCCTTTTCCCTCGAAGAAATATTACTTCCTGGCTCAAAATTAGACTGACCCGTGGGAGTAGCAGTTAAGGAACCGCCTGTGCCGAAACATCTTCCTTCCACGGAGGCATCATCATTTGCTTCAGGCTCTTCACTTTCATAAAGACTTGCCAAGAGTTCTTCATCTGAAGGTCCTAAAGCAGGGTCTAACCCTCCTGAAACTCTGGGCAGACCGTGATCAGAATTATTTGGTACAACTGAAACTGTAGGATCAAGTTCACCAATTAATCTTCCGAGTACCTTTTCTTGAGCATATTCTTCTGAAAGGCCATCTACCTCACCTCCTAACACCTTCACATTTTCTGGCTTCAACAAGAGAACACCAAGACGGAACGAAATGCGTCCGTGAACCAAAATTTTTGTACCCGGAGGAAGACCACCATGGAGAGCTGGAATAGACTGATATTCCATCCCTTGGATTTGTGTGACACCATCAGTGAGTTGCAGCATCAGCATCCGTGAAGGCCTTGCTTCCCACGGTTTGGGGGTAACCTGTGTTTCCGCCGAAACTAGATCATTGGTTGTATTCTTTCCCCTCAGCTTTTGTATCTGGAAATATGCGGGCTGACTTACATCAACCAAGGAATTCATCTGTAGAGCATAAAATCCGTTCAGCTCCCCCTTCGGGATTTCTAGAATGCTGTCAGGTAAGAGAGGGTGCCCCAGGTCTCTCAGGTCAGTGAGAAGCCACTGCTCCAGTACTTGTTTGTTCACTTGTGCTTGGCTCAAATTAGCATCACCATTTTCTTCTTGGATCCAGTTAACACAAGCTTCCAGCCACGCTCGAGGCACTTTAACATGCCATGTTGCCAAAAGCCAGGTTTCAACTCGTGATACAGCACTATTTACACTCATTTTTTTAAAATTAAGAGCATATGCCTCCACCTGGAAACAAAAAGAAGAGTGATTAAATATAAGTATAGCACTGATAACTCTCAAGTACAGACAGTCCTAATTCCTTTACACCCTTTACGCTTTCCTTTCTTCAGCATTAAAAGCCCTTGACTTTCTACCCAGTTGATACTCCAATCTTAGAAGTCCTCAGATAATGTAATGAGGAAAACGAGATATTTAAGAGCTAGCTCTGTCAAGATACACGCTACATGACCTAATGTTGGCATCACCATCTGTCTTACAGCGCTGTTGAAACACATGTATAATAAAGTGTAAATGTAAATGACACAACTTTGATCGCCCCCATGTTGCTGTGAGACCTTGGGTGACTGTCCAGGTAACCTTTGTCTTTGCTTGCATCTTGTAGAAGTCCCACGCTTGCACTTCCTGCCTTCTCTAGTATTGCTGTTTTCCTTCTCAGGTCTTTGATGAGGTTGAAACTAGACAGTCATAGTAATATCATCCCTTACCTTTGGTAGACAAGATTTAGACTTTCCAGATTAAGATTGCTATCCTTTACCCTGATACTGGACATGTAACCTGGACATATAGTATGTATCTATTGCTCAATGTTGCTTTCACTAGTAATAGGTTTTAATTTGTGTATGTTTACCTTTACTTTTCCTGGAATGTACTTGACATTTGTTATCACTGCATATAGTTTTCATATCAGGCTTAAACCTTCTTCCTTAGACTAAAAGGGGAATTGTAGAGGTCTTACCTGTAATGGTGGTCACACCCTTTGGGCGTGGCTTCAGGCAGAAGCAGAAAGGGCTTGTGTGGGTCTTTGTCTTGTGTCAGTGGATCTGGTAGGAAGAGCAGAGAAGCACTCCCTCAGTTCTTTGTATTCATCTTGGGTCTACTGAAATCATTACACCCTCGCCTTCATTTGAGAGACACTCAGTCACTACTATATCTTAAAATTTCCCAAAATAATGATCATTTTATTTTCTTACCCCTCACTTTAGTCCATACATCTTTACTTGCAAGTGTTCACTGCAATGAGTCACTGGTCTGGTTCAAGGCCTGTGGCTTCTGCTACACTGTCAATACTGGATCCTCATTCAGACTCATCTCAGACACTCTTTTTGCTGTGTCTTAGGGACCCTTTAGCCTTGGATCTGCAGGTCTGGCCCCTTCACATGCTCCAGCAGTTCACAGATGGGGGTGGATGTTGGGATGGGCTAACTCAGCCCTGGATCCAGACCTGGGTGGTAGCTTAGTTGCTCAGCCCACCAACTCTCCCACATCCTCACCGCCCAGCTAGCTCACCCAATGCAGGCAACCTGGGTGAGGCCAGAGTGCCCTCAGGCTGGCTCGCCAATACCCTCACCACCAGTGCCAGCTCTACTGTGTTGCCCAGGTAAGGTCATGACCCACTCTTCTGCTCTTAGGACTGCAGAGCCAGGTCTCCTGCCTGACACAGGGGCAAGGAGTGAGGGAAGCAACGTCCCTCCCTCGCCCCTACCACCGCGTGACAGACGAGCAGCAGGACCAGCAGGACGCACACGCACACCCCCACCCCCACCCCCAGGGTCTGTCCTAGTGAGAGCCCAGGTTGACAGGAGAGCGGGCATCACTCTCACCCCCACCACTAGGGCAGTAGCCCAGGCAGAGTTCAGGGCGCTCTCTGCAAGTGCTGCAGACAGTGAGGGGTGGAGCCAACTCTGTGCAGTCCTTGGATATCAACATGGCCTCAGGCAGCAGCCCAGACCAGGGACATCACACAGCCTTCGGTGGTGACATGGGCCACGGACATCGACACACACCCCTGTTGCTGCATGGCCGCAGACGCAGACATGTCCCTCAGCAGACTTCACAGGCTCCTCCTCTCCACCCTCATATCCCCTGATCTCCCTCTCTTCATAGTGCTCACGCTGTTGTGTTGAGTGAGGTCTCTAGGTGTCTTCTTCCTGACTCTGGGTGTCTTCAAGTGTTTGCGCTACCCAAAGCTTCCAAAGGAAGTAAATCTCTCGCCACAGTTAGATGCAGCACAGAAGAACTGTAATTCAATGGAGTTCTCCGGTCTCATAGTTGAACCAGCACCACAATCAATGGGAAGAAAACGTAGCAGGACATGTCTAGTCGGTGTGGGCCTCCATTCTGCAGTACTGCTCTTCTGCCTGGGCTACGATGCAGCTCTGGGACCTACAGCGACTCACGCAGTGGCCGGCTTTCTCAAAGGAAGGTGGCACAGGCCCTTGAGTTTGTTACTGGCTCTGTTGATGGGCAGTGAAGTTAATTCATCTGCCTCCAAGTCTCCTGTTCAGCTAACTTCACAGCACACAAACCGCCGTCTTCTGTTTCTCTACCACCTATTTGCTCCCTTCTCTCTCTCCCATCACGCCACCGTCGACTTACTCACTTCCTACCTCGTGGGGCCTCGGTGTTGTCTCGGTGCTGTCCAGGACAATCCCAGTCCTGTACCTGCCAGGAGCTAGCACTGCTCTCAAGCTGTTCCTCACAGCCAGGTCCTGCCTGACCAGGATGGAGAGGCACCAGAACTCTCATTCTTTGGAGACAGCAAGGCCCTGGCCAAAGCTACAGCAGCCTCAGCCAGTGCGGAAAGCCTGCAGCCTGGGGAGTCTGACATTCAGGTTGCAGCAGTCACTACCCCATTTTGATCCTAGCTCTGGGTTGGTACTGAGAAGTCTTACCTGTTTGCCTAACTATTCTCAACCGTGCTGTCAGGAATACTTAAACTTGACTCTCAGTATAGCAAAGCACAGCAAAGCACCAGGAGGGCACTGAAGACACAGAGCTTACTAAAGCTTAACATGTCCTTAAGAAAACTCACCACTTCACAGGACAGCATGCGGTCTGATGACAGTACTTCAAGCTGGTGGTCAGTGGAAAACTCAAAGCCTCTACTGCAGAGAGATGACCTTGAGAGGTAAGAGGCAGCAGTAAGTATATGAATGAAGCCTATTTCCACAAATATAAGAGTATGATTGTAAGGTTCTGGGGACTCCTTAACAGTTAAGATAAACTGGAAACAATATAGGCTAAAAATCTGGAGTATAGCCAAGGGGTGGTAGTACTCGCCTTTAATCCCAGCACTCTGAGAGGCAGAGGCAGAAGCAAGCGGATCTCTGTGAGTTCAAGGCCAGTCTGGTCTACAAAGTGTGTTTCAAGACAGCTAGGGATACACAGAGAAATGCTGGGGGGTGGGGGGGACAGCATAGAGTGAGATAAATAGAACTGTTGAGAGAAGGTTACTTTTTCTAAACCCATTTCCTTACTTCATTACTAAACTCACTGAGCTACTATAAAAACTAAGGTAGAATGGAATAAAGGTAAATTAATGTAGTGTGTGATGGCCCAGTTCAGAGGAAGCTCTGGTAACATATTACCATTACTTGTGTGTCTGCAGGAAACACATGCATATCACGGTACCCATGCAGAAGTTAGAGCACAACTTGCGGAGTTGGAACTCTCCTCTACCAGGTAGGTTCTGAGGTCAAAGCTACGGTTAAAGGCTTGGTGGCAAGTGCCCTTATCTGCTGAGCCACCTTGAGGAAGGCAAACATAGGAGATAGTTTAGCCTGGGATCCCACTTGCTTTTGTATTATCAAGTCACAACAGATATCAACAGCTCAGAAGGAAAGGTTAGCTAGGACAGAACAATTTCCCATTTGCTGACACACAAATAGCAGCCTTGGGGTTTCAAGAACTCCTCAGTACTAGAAGAAAAACAACTTTGAAAAGATATCTCTTAAACTGAACGTTAACCTGTAACACACATTTTTATTTTCAGGCATGGTGGCGCACACCTTTAATCTCAATACTCGGGAGGCAGAGGCAGAGGCAGAGGCAGAGGCAGAGGCAGAGGCAGAGGCAGAGGCAGGTGGCTCTCTGAGTTCCAGGACAGCAAGGGCTCTGTTACAGAAAAACAATCAGAAGGCAAGAACAAAGTGTAGCCCTGAGGCCCTGAATGCAATCTCTATGACTTAAGGGCAAAGGGAAGGGCAAGACGAAAAAGAAAAGATGTTAGAACATTCACATCAATATTTATCTGTTTTTATATTAGAGGGGTTTTGAATGTTATCTATAAAAGAGATCTACTTCAAGTCCATGAAATAGAAGGTTGTGTAATCTTGGAAGAGTTAAGTGTATCTGGGTATATGTACATGAGTGCAGGTACCCAAGGAGGTGAGGTGTCAGATCCCTTTGAGTTGTAGTTACATTTAGTTATGAGTTAAATTCCAGTCCTCTGAAAGAGCAATATATGTGCTGAGTCTCCAAACCATCCCTCCAGACCTTGAAGGGTTTTTATTTTCCTTTTTAATTATTTTTTTTTATTATTTTTGTTTTTGTGACAGGGTTTCTTTGTGAAACAGAGCCCTGGCTGTCTTAGGACTCTTTGTAGACCAGACTGGCCTCAAACTCAAGAGATTCTCCTGCTTCTACCTCCTAAGTGCTGGGATTTAAGGCGTGTGTCACCACATTCAGCTGTGAAGGTTTTTAGGGACTTTTTAATGATGGGAAAATATGTTCATCTTTTCTTAGTGTAAACTGCTTTTATGGTAAGAAAAGTATTTCCATCAGCCTTTGTGCCTGATAAGACTTGGCTGTTCACACAGATCTTAATTCTAAATCCCAGCTACTAACAAAGAAACAAGAGAACAATGTAGAAAAGTTCTATCACTTGTCACATATCTGCCCCAGTGATTAATCTTCAATCAGCCTCAAATGTTTTGATAGAGAAGTACCATCCCTAGATAGTCTATGTGACATCCAACCAATAGCTGAGATTCTAAAACACTGACAAAAAAATTATATCCATTTTATGTATATTATTTTCATCTAAAAAATAAAAGTTGGGCCAGCAAGATGACTCAGCAGTTAAAGGTGTTTGCCACTAAATGCAGTGAGTGAGTTCAACGCTACAGTCCCACATGGCAGAAGAGAGAACCAACTCTACAAGGCTGCCTTCTGATTCACACCTGAGCGCATTCAGTCACAGGCTCTCTCACAAAATCAAGTTCAGTTTAAAAGAATCTTGAGAAGGTAACCCCCCAAAAAAAAATCAGGGATGAAAAAATGTTATACAGCTGGGCAGTGGTGGCCCACAACTTTAGTCCCAGCACTCGGGGGACAGAGGCAGGTGGATCTCTGTGAGTTCAAGGCCAGCCTGCTCTACAAGAGAGTTCCAGGACAGACTCCAAAGCCACAGAGAAACCCTGTCTCAAAAAACGAAAAGGGAAGAAAAAATGTTCTATTATAGTTGACATAAAATAAGGAGTGTGTATTCTCCAAAACCTCATATAAGGAAAAGTGAGAGAAAACTCCATCTAGGAGTCTGCAAACCCAGCTTTGTAAGGTGGCCTTGGATCTGTGGAGATTAGGGAGGTCGATCTGTCAGCTCTCTCCCACCACAGGGTTCCAGTGATGGAATTTACATCAAGCCTGGCCTTGGCAGCAAGAACCTTTACCTACTGGACCATCACACCTGCTCCTCCCTTACCGTGTGTGTGTGTGTGTGTGTGTGTGTGTGTGTGTGTGTGTGTGTGTGTGTGTGTGTGTGTGTGTGTGTGTGTGTTTTGTTACTTGAGACAGTTTTACTATATAGCCTCTGGCTGTCTTTGAACTCACAAACCCACCTGCTTCTGCCTCCCAAGTGCTAGGATTAAAGCCATGAACAACCACACCCATAAAACAAAGATAATCACAACTTATTCAAAATATTGTAATAAGCATTAAATTGCCAGCACAAAGTGTGGCATGAAGTAGAGAACTCTGGAATACCTTCCGTATTTTAAATGTTATTCCAGCTAGCTACTGTACAGTTCCAATTATGTTAAACCTCAGTGAAGTAATACCGGCTCCAAACTGACACTAAGACATTAGACTATAACCATTAACTCGTGGTGTACCCGGGAGTCACTAAATGGAGCATCTGACACAGGCTTCATTGTGCCACCCATAGCCTAAGTGCCACACATCCACTCGGCTGAACACCCACTCCTGAGCAGAGGTTTTGATAATCAGCTGGAAATTTCCACCTTCAAATAGAAAATGAGGAGACAAACTTCCAGTTACTCAGAGGAAACCTAAAAGAAGACGAAACCTGGATCAACTCGAGAGAAAGTGACTTCACTGGAGTCTAGTCAAGACGGCTCCCACTCCCCACTGCTCACGAGGGGAAAGTTAGGCGACACTGACTTCAGCTGGGTGAGGTGGTGCTCGCCGTTAAGCCCAGCCCTGGGAGGCGGAGGCAGGCGGGTCTTTGTGAGCTACACAGTGAGACCCCGCTCCCAAAAGCCAAAGGGGTAGACTCTGGGCCAGGCCCGGAGGCATCCGAGAGGCCAGGCTCATCCGTGTGCACAGCCGTTTCCACTCAGCCAGCCCGGGCTACCGCGGGTCAAAGCGAACCATCCTGACACCAGCCTCAGTCCGTGCCTATCAGGCCCTCGTCCCGGTTTGGTCAAGTAAGTAAGACACCCCAACCGCCCTGTCACAGGCCCACGACGTTAGAGACCGCTGCAGTTAGGACACGGTGGACACCCTGGCGCTTCAGGAAGGTCGGGGCGGAGGACAGAGGGCTGAGGGCGAGTGAGCGGAGGCCTGGGCGGCCGGGCTGCTGAGAGCGGGAGGGGGAGGGCAGGGGCGGATGCCCACGGCCGCGCGCTGCGTTCGTTACCCTGGCAGAGCCTACGTCGAGTTCTGCGGTCCGCATTTACGGGACCCACAGGGGAGACTGCAAGTTTCTCTGAGGATAACTCACAGCGCTGGGCAGGCGCGCAGAGGGGGAGCGGGGCGGCTCTGAGCCTCTGAGCGCCCCGCTCCCCCCTCCCCTCCCCTCCCCTTCCCCCGTCCCGCGCGCCCTGGCACAGCGGGTCTCCCGGGCCGAGCGCAGGGGCGCCGACGGCGTGGGGAACCGGGCCGAGCACCGACCTGGCCCCCGGCCTCCCGCCTCGAGCCGGCGCCGCCTGCGGGCGTCCGTGCGTCCGCGTCCGCGCGTCCGTCCTGCCCTCCGCTTCCCGCCCCGCCCCGGGGCTCGCGGAGACCCTAGAGCCGCCCCGCGCCGCCGCACGCCGACTCCCGCCTCAAATCTCGCGAGAGGCGCGTCGCCCCCCCCCCCCCCGCTCCGGAGTGCGCGAACGAGAGAGGAGGAGGAGGAGGAGGAGGAGGGCGCTCCGGGCGACAGCGCTGCAGACGCCATTATCCTCTTCCCCGCTGCACGGACGTCGGCGTCGCGCTCGCCTCTCGCCTCTCGCCTCGCGCTCGCTCGCTCGCTCGCGGCCTGCAGGTACCGGGGCGGCCGGGCCCCGGGTGTGGCGGGTGCGGGCGGCGGGGCGGCGGCCCGAGCCGAGCCGGCCCGGGTTTCCTGCTCAGGCCGCGGCCCGCAGGGAGGGAGGGAGGGAGGGAGTCGCCGGCGGAAGGCGGGGTCCTCGGCGCCGTCACTGACGCGGCCTCGGGCCAATGGCGCGGGCCTGGCTCGGCCGCCGGGGCGCGGGCAGCCAATGGGCGCGGCGGCCGGGGGGACGGAGGGCGGGCCGGGCCGTCCTCGCTCGCTGTGGCAGCAGGGACCGGCGGCGGCGCGGCCGGGAGGCGACGGCGGACCCGCGGGCGCGGTGAGCGGGCCGGGCCGGGGCGGCGGGCGGGAGGCCGGGGGCCGCCGCCGGGGTCGTTGCTGCCCGGCCTCCCCTCCCCCCACCGCCGCCGCCATTTCCCCGAGCGTGCGGGCGCGGGGGCCGCGGGGCCCGGGACGGAGCGGGGGCCGGGGCCGGGGCGCTCGGGGTCCGCCCGCTCGCCCCGCCGCCGCCCGCACGCCCGTCCCCGGCGCGGGCTCCTCCGGGCAGGCCTGCGTGGCGCGGGCGGCGGGCGGGCGGCGGCGGCGGCGGCCGCTTTGTCTCGCGCGGTGGGGGTGGGGGAGGTGCGGGGCCCGAGCTCGCGGCCCGCGTGCTGGGCGCGGTGGGGGGAGGGGACGGGGCCTCGCGCGGCTCCGCCTCGGCGCACGTAGTCGCCATTACGCGGGCCGCCATTTCCTGTCGGATCCGGGTGAGGAGCGGCGGCGGCGCCGAGCGAGCGGGGCCCGGGCTCCCCCTGCGTGCGCCCCGCTGGCTGCGCGGGCGGGCGGGCGGGCGGCGGGGGCCGGGGCGGCGGGGCCCGGATGCCTTCCCCGGCTCCGGCCTGAGCCAGCCATTGGCTCGCAGCCGCCACGGGTTGGCCGCACCGGCTCCGCCGCTTTGCGTGCAGGCTTCGAGCGTGGCGCTGGCGGTGGATTTCTACGTACTTTTTTTTTCGTTTTTTTGTTTTTGAAGCACCATTTTAAAAGTCTAACGGTGCTGTTGGCGGTTGAAGGCGCCGCTAGCTGTGAGCTCTGCCGGACAATGGCGGTCGTCTGGGTCTGCGCCTCGGTTGGGGTTTTGGGTTTCTCCCCGTGGACGTTGAAAGCGGCTCGTGTGTGTTTGCCTTGGGGTCTGCGGGCTTGGCAGGGTTCGTGGAAGTGATGTTGTCGGGCGCGAGCGAGCAGGACGCCCTTCCAATTACACCGGTCTTACAATGGCACTGCTCTTGTGATAAGGTGCTTCTTTTCAAGAGTTAGCTTTGTGAGCGAAATTTTGGGTCGGCTGGCTTTTCAGTTGTGATTAAACGAAGTTGAGGATGGGATTGCTGACTCCTTGGGGGAAATAGGCTCTTCTTCATGGTAGGTAGCTGGGCCGTCGTGGTTCATTGAGACGTCTCAGTCTGAAAGCAATCCACCACACCTGGCTCTTCTGCTGAATTTTAGGCTTAAAACAGCCCGTTACCTCAAATCGGACCTGTCACCCAATATTAGTATTGAATAATAAAAAGGGAAACATAACTGGTTTGTGCTGGGCTTTATAGACTACTATAGCATTAGGGTGTCTGTCGGTTCTGTTCTGAAAGGATGTGTGTGAATGTTCTGGAAGCAGAGTCTCTTTAGAGATTTTAAGCAAAAATAGCCAAATGTACTAGCTTCTTTACTTTTTTACAGATTGGTGTATCCATTTAATTCAAGAAAATGGAGACCGAGCAGCCAGAAGAAACCTTCCCCAACACCGAAACCAATGGTGAATTTGGTGAGAAGATATTTCAATTATAAGTAATTTGTGTGTGTGTGTGTTGACTTCACAATACTTTTGGTTTATAATTATTTCATAATTATAAAATTCCATGGTCTGAGATTGTGTTCTTGGGTTTTATGAACAAGAAGTAACCTTGTATAATGGTTTAATTTCCAGGTAAGCGCCCTGCAGAGGACATGGAAGAGGAGCAAGCCTTTAAAAGATCTAGAAACACCGAGGAGATGGTGGAACTGCGCATTTTGCTTCAGAGCAAGGTACAAAGGCTGCTTTCTTGTCGTTAGAGTAAAATGTTTCACTTTAAGCCCGGATTTTGCTCCCTGGAAAGCTTTTAGAGTTTTGTGAAAGATTTGTTCTGAGACAGGCTCTCAGGTGCGGCCACTTGAATTCTGGATCAGTCCCCCCACCTCACCCCCCCCCCCTTAAGCCAGTAGTTGGCTTGATTCTTTATGAACAGATTCCTGAACTCCGGGTAGCCCTGGAGTGGAAAGGTGTGAAAGCCCTATTACCAATGTCTCCAAATATAAATCAGAAGAGTGAGCAGCACTCTAGGCTTTGATGGGTTTTAGATATTGGTTAGTGTTTTATTTACCCATGGAACTAGTTTGCTTATGTTTACCTCATAACCTTGTTCAAATCATTAAGATATTTGCTGCATAGATTTTGCTTGGTTTTCACAAGAGGGTACTTGTAGAAGCATCTATACTTTTTAGGAATTTAGGTGGTCTAAATATTCTGAAGATTATTATAAAATTATTCATACTCAGTAAGTAAAATCTTGGTTTCCCCTCATTCTTAAGTAAATTCCAACTCCTGTGAAGACTTTGTTGTTAAAGGTTAAAAAATACAGGTAGAACTGTTAATTTTATATGGAAATGCAAAGTAATTTTTTTTCTATTCTAGAATGCTGGGGCAGTGATAGGAAAAGGAGGCAAGAATATTAAGGCACTCCGTACAGACGTAAGTATTAAACTACTGAACAAGTGAATTCGTTGTTATGTTTCTAGATTTTTTTTTTAAAGGTTCACATCTTAGAAATCACTGAATGTAACTACAAACCATTTGTAATGATTAATGGTTCTATAGATGGTTCCTGCTTCTTTTTTTTTTTTTAATCCCTGATTAAGGTGGAACTATATAATTAAATCTTTCTTTTCCGATAAGACCCTTCAAATAAGATAAAACATCTTAATTAGAAATAAGAGACAAAGTGTAAAAGCCCTTAATTGCATCATTCCTCTTGTGTGTATGTGTGAGAGAGAATCAGGCATTACTGACAGCCATTGAGGATGGCTGATTAAAAAAAAAAAAACCAACCTTTATTTTCAAAGTTCATCTGTTCCACAGCTTTCAACATGGAGCTAATGCCGATTTTTAAACGTGGATAAAAAATAGCTTAATCTTGGCGATCGGGGCTATCTGCCTAGAATTTGAGTCTTCATAATTTATAGTGGGTTGACTCTTGTGATTAGACACATTAAATGTTGGCAGTGCCAGAAGTGTGTGTGTTATTTCTAGTACTTGACTACACCAAAATTTCTCAATGTTTATCTTGGTAAAATTGAGGCAAATAACTGTGTTAAGTACCTAACAGTATTTCATTTCTCTCGGTAACAGATCTTTGTGTTTCTCTTGATTGCTACAAACTTTAATTTTTAATATTTACAAACCTGCTTATGAGATACAGGAACGTGTTTTACACCTCATGAAACCAAATCAGTCTTACTATTTGGGTTTGGTGTGGGAATTTTTGTTTTGTCTTTGAACCTCTTTTTCCTTCTAATCCAGATGTTCTGTATAATTATCTGGGTTATTTCCCCGTTTTCCTCAAGGATTTCAGTAAACTTTTGAGTCACGACAGGTTTTGTGTCTACCCTCACGAGCCAGCCTGCTACTGAAACATTAAAAAAAAACAAACAAAACAAAAAAACAAAACTAGAACCATCATTTAAGGTCCTTAAATGTTAAGCCACAGTCAGATATAGAGAAGTCCATTATTGTGTTAGTCTTCAGAGCAACTTAAGCTTGTTTCATTAATTGAGAGTATGAGTATAGTCTGTATTAAATTAAAATTTATTGCTTTTCCCCCTTTTCCCTCTCCTTGTTTTTTTGGCCATATATCTCCGTTGCCCATGTACTGGATCGACTTACCCCTGCGTTGCCCACCATGACGTTGGCCCATCCGCCCCTGAACGCCCATGTGAAAACCCTGGTTGGCTATGCCCAAAAATGTGCTCGTTGCCAAACGGGTACAATACTTGACAACTTCTGATTGAATGCCCATGCCCAATGCCAACATCCACGAACGCCAATGACCAATGCAGTACAATGCCAGTGTTTCAGTCCCAGACAGCAGTGGCCCCGAGCGGTATGTCCCAACAGTTTATGCCTCACTGCCTGATTAGAAAGAGAGAAATGTATTTTATTACCTGCCTTTTATATAATTAAATAGTATCCCCTTTAGACGGTGTATTGTTTTTCAAGTTTCTGTCTTATTTTCCCCATTAAGTCCTTTTGTCACTGAACTTTTACCGTGAGTTGCCCACCCAAACGATCCACTAATTTTATTTCAATGGAAGGAGCACAGCTTCAAGTGTTGCATATTTGCTGCATTGTAAATCAGACTGTTACCAGATAGTCTCTCGCTCTGTCTTTGTGGCCCACCTTGCTTCCCAACATTGTCTGTTCATAATTTTTTCTGAGAAACGCTAACTGGTTCACTTTCCTTCACTTCTCATTTGTATTGTCTTTGTTTTGTCTTGCATTTGTATTTGTTTTCTTGCAGAGCCCATTAGTAGTCTAATTTCTAACTGGTATCCATAACCTTACTCCAGATACGATGTTCACCACTTGCATATTCCCCCACTTTACCCAAGAGAAGGTGTGCCAGTATTGCCAATGTAACAGCGAGGGTGTCCTTAACTTGGTGGCGGGGAACATGAGAATTCAACTCTGCTTCAATTCTGGTCGATTATTGCCACTTAATCTGAGCCCTTCCAACAGCCCATTCTCTCTGTCTCTCTCTCTCAAAGTCTTCTAATAATGTTATGTCTGTATTGGGCATAAAATAAAATGCATGTATGACATTCATAAATAGGCTACTTTAAATGGGGACTATTAAGTGATTGTGATGTTACTTCTCTAAAAGTTGATGCTGGCTGATGACAAAACTCACTTTTCTTTTCCACCTTTTGTATTATGTGGTATTTGATGTTTGGCAGCATACTGAGTATCAGTGCTGATATTGAAACGATTGGAGAGATTCTGAAGAAAATCATCCCTACCTTGGAAGAGGTAGGTTTCTTTTTTGTTTGCTTTTTAATAAAATTTGGCAAGATGGGTGTACTTCGGGAGGGGACAGAAATGTGACAATTTTGTAGCAGCAAAATCTTCATAGTGTATTGCATCTCGTATTTGTCTTTAAAATTTATGCTGGCCACTCCTGAGATCATAAATATCTGTGGTCTTGTATCATAATTTAGTGTGTATTTTAAAGGTCTTGGTTTTAGAGTCTCCTTTCTTAAACTAACAATGTTCATATATAAGGGGTAATTTAGATATAATTAGGACAGGTTAAAATTTTACTTTTTTTCCCCCCCAAGTAGAGAGACTGGGTTTGTTTATAGTTCATTTCCAGGTGACAGTCTTAAAGAAGTTACAGCTGCAGGAATCTGTCATAGTGCTTCTGTAAACAGGAAGCAATGGACCCATGGGTGCTGCTGATTGGTTCGCTTTCTGTACTATTGACAATAAGGGTCTGTGTAAACGTTGATTTACTGCCTTTTGGAAAGGTGATTTTATGTTGACTTACTGTTAAATAAGCTGTTTTCTGGATTAATAATAGATTTGTTTTAAAATATGTTGTAGTAGCTTTACCAATATATGCGACAATAGCCTGATCACGCTAGACACTTAACCTATTATTCTTATTTTTCTACTTTCAGGGCCTGCAGTTGCCATCACCCACTGCAACCAGCCAGCTCCCGCTCGAATCTGATGCTGTGGAATGCTTAAATGTATGTCATAGTGCCATTGAACCCCACTGAAGTATGGAGCCTGGCCCATAGGATCGATTTATTCTTAACATAGTGTGCTTTTCCCATCTCTATAGAAAAAGGCTTAAAACTATGATAATGAATGGTCTTACAACTCACTGTTGACCCTGCTCCATGCTGCAGTGGGAACTAACTACATTTGCAAAGTGCTTTGCAGTCATTTTTATTATGGTGTTATTTGAATGTTAATAATTTTGTGGTAACAGCGACATGCTAAATGGCTGCAGTGTGGGTATGGTGTTGCAGGACCTGAAAATAAAATAGTTTTTTAAGGTGGTGCAGATTGTCCTTTTTGGGCCTGGCTATTGAGGATAATAAGCACATAACTGGTAAAGTTATTGAGATATAAATTCAGGTTGCTTACTGCAACAGTGCATTATATTGTGCTTAAACATAAGCTGATAGTGTGTTGGGAAGGTACTTAACAAGAGAGTAAAATTGTGTGTTTTCCCTTCCACAGTACCAACACTATAAAGGAAGTGACTTTGACTGCGAGTTGAGACTGTTGATTCATCAAAGTCTGGCAGGAGGAATTATTGGTGTCAAAGGTGCTAAAATTAAAGAACTTCGAGAGGTAAGGCATTATTTTGTTATTTTGTTCTTTGCTGGATTTAATAATTTTCTGTACAGAGATGGCTCTGGGCTAGTCTCTTAAGATAAACCCATCACTATTTAGTTGGGTCTTAAAGTAACAAAACTAAGTTTTGTTTAACTTAATGCCATTTCTAGGCCCTGTATAGTTGGCCACATTTTTCCTATTGGGTTCATGTGTCTGAACTAGAGGGCCTGGACTTCATTTAATGTGTTAACGTCCTCTAATGAATTTTCTTCTTGTGAATGTGTTGTAGAACACTCAGACAACAATCAAGCTTTTCCAGGAATGCTGTCCTCACTCTACTGACAGAGTTGTTCTTATTGGAGGAAAGCCTGACAGGGTTGTAGAGTGCATCAAGATCATCCTTGACCTTATATCTGAGGTATCTTTAAGATGGTTTTGTTTGTATTTCATCAGACAGAAATGTGGCTGTATTCAGTTTTGATATTTCCCTGGGAGTTTTGAGTTGCCTGCTTTGATATTGAGAGCCCTTGGTCATTTATGCAAATGTCCTTACAGTTCTGCATTGCTTGCTTCTTTCAGACATACCTGGGGTAATGATCTCCTTTGTCAGTGTTTGTAAATCCTTTCCACCATTGCCTCTTCCTGTCTCTGCCTCTCTTACCTTTTGAGATTAGTAATTGTTGGAATGTGTAAATCAGACCAAGGCTCTTACTTCCATCTTTAAAGTGCTGTGTTTTTGTTTTTAGTCTCCCATTAAAGGACGTGCACAGCCTTATGATCCCAACTTTTATGATGAAACCTATGACTATGGTGGTTTCACAATGATGTTTGATGACCGCCGTGGACGTCCTGTGGGATTTCCCATGCGAGGAAGAGGTGGTTTTGACAGAATGCCTCCTGGTCGGGCTGGGCGCCCCATGCCTCCTGCTAGAAGAGATTATGACGATATGAGCCCTCGTCGAGGACCTCCACCACCACCTCCTGGTCGAGGTGGCCGGGGTGGCAGCAGAGCTCGGAATCTTCCTCTTCCTCCTCCTCCACCACCCAGAGGAGGGTAAGTTTTTAGCTAAGCATTAATATAAGCAGTCAATGGTGTGATCTTGATGTGAGTATATAAACATTACAACACATGTTTATGCTTGCAGAGATCTAATGGCTTACGACAGAAGAGGAAGGCCTGGGGACCGCTATGATGGCATGGTAAGAATTTTGATTTATTGAGGGGGTGTTGTAAGAGACCTTATCATCAAGCATTTTGTGCAAGATTACACAGCTGTCTGAATAGTTTGGTGTTTCTGTCTCTTAATACAGGTTGGGTTCAGTGCTGATGAAACTTGGGACTCTGCAATTGACACATGGAGCCCGTCAGAATGGCAGATGGCTTATGAACCACAGGTTGGGTATTAATAGTGTTAATGTAATTATCAGCAATCTAACTTGCCTACTAATAATTGGTCTCACCCAAATCTTCAGTTTGCTTACTGTAATAAACTGGGTGTGGGTGGACAGGGAGCTTCACCACCACCCCCAACTAAGCTCTGGGATTCCCCCTTTCCTTGGAATATTAAAATAAGTAATTTTGTTTTTCTTTGTTTTTAGGGTGGTTCTGGATATGGTAAGTTTCTTCTTTGTGAAATCAAACATTAATTTGTACATATTTTTACATGAACTTACTGCTCATTATTTAAATCAGATTATTCCTATGCAGGGGGCCGTGGCTCATATGGTGATCTTGGTGGACCTATTATTACTACACAAGTAACTATTCCCAAAGATGTAAGTATTTTTAATTCAGGGAACTTTTAATTTTTTAATTTCTTGTTAATTGCTGCTTCTGTAAACTGGGCAGACTTTCTAATTTATGATTGAGATAATGTTTAAGGGCTTATGGGGAGTGTGGTAAATCTCACATCAGATGGTGGTTTGGGGTTCTTAATTAGTATGTTCTATAAAGTTACTACTTTTGGTCATTGATAACAGATACAAGTTTTCCTTAGAGTTGTCATTAAGCTTCTATTTAAAACTCTTTTCAGTTGGCTGGATCTATTATTGGCAAAGGCGGTCAGCGGATCAAACAAATCCGTCATGAGTCGGGAGCATCAATCAAAATTGATGAGCCTTTAGAAGGATCTGAAGATCGGATCATTACCATTACAGGAACACAGGACCAGATACAGAATGCACAGTATTTGCTGCAGAACAGGTCAGTTTAAGCTTAGCTTTGTGTTAGCATATACATACTAAAACCTTTTTTAAAAAAACCTTTTCTTCCCAATTGATTTTTCTTTTAGAAACCATGGTGTTTCCGTCACTTGGGGATTCTAACTTCTTAAACATCCTAATTAATAGCTCTGCCTTGATTTTCTTCTGTTTTCTTACTAAAAAATGAAGATATTCAATACTAATCTTGCTGGAAGAAGCCTTAACCAAGCAAACTTCTCATTTCTCTGGTGAAAACTGCTGCCAAAACCACCACTTGTAATAAATTATACAGAGCCTGTAGAAAGTGTAGAAGAGTCATTGGATGTTGGCCTAGTTCTGTGTGGAAGACTAGTGATTTTGTTGTTTTTAGATAACCAAAACGACAACAAATCACAGTCTGCCATATGGCACAGGCCACCTCTACAGGACAGTAATGATGGTGCTGTAACACGCAGCATTTCACACCTTCCTCGCATTCCTTTGTCTTTTCTACCAAGTATTAACACTTCTAGTTTCATTTTCTTAACCCTGCACTACTACTGACATTTCTTGAGTTTTACATTGCTTTTAATTCATAGTTGCTAGTGCTCTTTAAAGTTCTTCTAATTATAATGGACGTGATTATCATTTTAATTTAGCATTGAAATTGTCTTAATGTTGATTAAGATGTTTCGAACAAAAATTCTAATTCGCACTTTTTTTTCTTTTCTTTTATAGTGTGAAGCAGTATGCAGATGTTGAAGGATTCTAATGCAAGATATTTTTTCTTTTTTATAGTGTGAAGCAGTATTCTGGAAAGTTTTTCTAAGACTAGTGAAGAACTGAAGGAGTCCTGCATCTTTTTTTTTTTATCTGCTTCTGTTTAAAAAGCCAACATTCCTCTGCTTCATAGGTGTTCTGCATTTGAGGTGTAGTGAAATCTTTGCTGTTCACCAGATGTAATGTTTTAGTTCCTTACAAACAGGGTTGGGGGGAGGGCATGCAAAAACTAACATTGAAATTTTGAAACAGCAGCAGAGTGAGTGAATTTTATTTTTTGTTCATTGTTGGTGGTTTTAAAAATTACCCCCGTGTAATTATTGTGAACCCTTGCTTTGTGGTCACTGTAACATTGGGGGTGGGACAGGGAGGAAAGTAATAGTCCACGTGTCCCTGGCATTTGTTCAGAGCAGTGTGCAGAATGTAACGCTCTTTTGTAAGAAACGTTTTATGATTTTTAAAATAAATTTAGTGAATCTATTTTTGGTGGTCTTTTTTTTTTTTTTTTTTTTTTTAAAGACAATTTTCAAATGGTGGTTTGAGTTTTCCAGCCCACCCCTAAACTAAACACTAAGTTTGATTTTCAGCTCCTCTGTTGGATATGAGTGCACCTCTTGGACATAGGCAAAACACATGGGCAATTTAAGTTTGGGTGGTTTCTTCATGGTTGGAAAGATGTGGCTTGATAAATTTCCATCACATAGTCATGCTTATAATAAGCTTGGGATTTTGTTTTTGCAAATGTTTGCCACTACTTTTCAACAGTTTTCTATGTTAGTTGTGGAGAACTAAGGTGGGGAGCAATATTAGAAGTTAACCATCTTAAGTATATGCCAGAATCCTGATGGGCAATGAGCTTTATTAATCAGAATAACACTTGGTTATGGAAGTGGCTGATGCTGAGTAAATCCTGGTTATTTTTGTTAGATAACCTCTCACCTATAGACAAACTGTCAACCTGCTAGTGTCTTGTTAGTTGAACTTTGTAAAAATATATATATACTTGTTTTACCATTGTATGCACAATGAAAGAAAAAAAGATGTACCATTTCTCTGTTGTGTGTTGAATTATGTAGGAAATGTTTGTGAACGATTCAAAAAAATGGAAAAAAAGTTCCTGTGGCTGTTTTGTGTAGTAATTTGGCATCTGTATTGATAGTTAAAAATACGCATCTAAATAAAACTTCCATGATGTTAGTTTTGATGTGTGCCCAGTTTGAAAGGGGGTTGACTGATACATGTAAAGTTTGTTGACATGTTCCTCTTGTAAGGAAATATAGTAATCTTAAATTATGTGGGCTTTGGTGTGAAATGTTTTCTAGCACATAGAGACAATGTGTGGTTAAATATAGCACATAGAAAATTCAGGAAGCTACTGATGCTAATTGGCCTTAGTGCTTAGAAATTTTGAATGAATTGAGCCTCAAATGTGTAATTTATTGGAGATGCTATAAAATGACTGCAGTAGCAAAGTTTAGCTGGTTCATAACTATCCTCAGTACTTGATTTTAGCTCCAGTAAGTTTGAAAGTGTTGGTGTTAAGAATGTGAAATGGGCAGGTTTTGGTTGTGACTCAAGTTGAGTAGTGCTTGCCAAGGGATTTTTAACAGGATGAGGTGCTTAGTTTGTAAAAGGACATACAGTTTTGTTAGGGAGCCATTAAATGAATCCCTCCTTTAAACCAGCAACCTGAGCTTTTCCCAGAAGGCTAAGGCTTGGCTGACTGCATTGTACCCTAGGCAAAGCCTGGCCTAAGCATTTAAGTGAATTGAGGGTTGGTTTTTGGATGGAGCAAAAAAGCTCCTAAGAGGAAAGAGTTCTACTAGAGGGAAGCGTTCCTTAAGACTGTCTCTGCTTTCACAAAGTCACTGGGAGAATATGACATAAGTAACAATACCCGGATGCCTAGAGAGTTACTCTTGCATAGTTTTGGAAAGGTAGGGTTTTTGCCTAATGGTATAACCTAAGAACTAGGAAGTCTACAGGGTTAAAGAAGTGGCTTAGCTGAGGGCTTGAGGCCCTTAGGATCTGTCCCCAGTACCACTAAACTAGGCAACATTGGGCATACCTATAGTCCCAGGACAGCAGAGGGAGATGGATTGCTGAAGGTTTAGCCCAGCCAAGGGTTACATAGCAAGACTTGGACAGAAATGAAACTGAGATAATCCCTTAAATTGTATATGGAAGTTTTCCAGGAAGCAACTGGTGTATAAGATTTGAAGCTTGTACACGTGTCTGTTCATGAGGGTTGTTACATGGGGTTTGGGCCAGAGGATTTCCTGACTTCACTTTACTTGAAACTGGTTGCCCATTGAATCAATTCAACAGTTGGCCTCCTCTTCTGCCCGCAGCACAGCTTTCAGGCTTCTGCCCTGGCTTTCGATGGTGTTCGGGGAACCCTAACTCAGTTGTACAAGCATTTTCACCAACTGAACTGTGTCTAGCCCCTCAAAACTAGGCTTAAAAACTCAAATCACAAGTTTTACTATATTATTTGTGTGTGTGTGTAGGTCAGAGAATAAATTGAAAGAATGAATTCTCTATGGGAGACCATGGATGAAACTGGTCAGAAATGGCACCTTTAACCCATGAGCCCAAATGAACTTCTAATGTGACTTTGGTGGTTTGCTGTAGACAGGCTAGCTGTGTGCCCTGCAGTCTGACTGGCCTTCAACTGTGGCTCTTCCTGAGCCTCCTCAGTGTAGGGATTATAATCTTGAACCACCACACCAAGACTGACATAGCAGAATTCTTAGCAATATTGCCGTGTTTCTCAAATTGCATTATTAGAACCAACAAAGACACCAAGGGTACTGGTTAATCAAATCCAGGGGCCAGTCGACACTTGTCACACAAGCCTTGTGACCTAAATTCAATGCCCACAACTCACAAAGCTGTCCTCTGATCTTGCAGAAAGGATCAGAGAGCCTACCCATGTCATACACACTGAAAAAAAAAAAAAAATGAAATTTAAATGTTCGTTTAAGGAGGTATTAAACCTGGGGTGGTGGTGTATTCCTTTAACCCAGCACTTGGGAGGCAGAGGCAGTTGTGGGTGTGAGTTAGGGAAAGCCAGAGCAACACACACAAAGTCTCAAAAAAACCCCAAGGTTTTAATGCAAATTAACAGCAAGAGAGAAGCTGCTGGAACAGGAAGAACTCAAAAAAACCAGCCATGGCTGTGTGAGACTATCTGGAGGATACTCCTTGGTGGTGAATATTGCCTATGAGAGATGATCTAGATTCAGTTAATTGAGGTGAGGTGCGACCTTTCTGTGGACTAGGTACTGAGATTGAATAAAAGAAAGTGAGCTAAGCTCAGCTTCAGGACTGCAAATTGTGACTAGCACAAGCTCCTGCTGTCATGGTAATGGCCAAAATAAATAGACTCAGGTTTCCTTGTCAGGTGTTTCTGTGACTCCTATAGGGACAAGTAACTAATACTAGGTTACTCAACCTTGTCCTCAGTGGGAATGAGTGTAGGCGTTAGGGGCTCCAAAGGAGGGGGCTGGGACTATTTCAAAGTCATTTCTCTCTTTCCACCTTGATTTTGAGGCAAGGTCTTCCTGTCTATATGTTGCGTATATGTATATGTGACAAGTTACATGTGAAGATGCATTCTCAAGCATGTTGGGACCCCAAACTGGGGTCTCCTTTTAGTAGATCCATAAAAGTAAGCATTGTTAGTTTGTGTGCACAAATGGATATGATTCCTCCAAGTTTAGTAAATTCCATTTGAGAAAGAAGTCTGGCGGAAGGAAAAGTTCAGACACTAAGTCTGAGGACTAGGCCCTTGAACACACGGAACCCTTTGTTCTGTAGTGTATCTGACTTAGACTATTGCTTTATGTTTCCTTGTTACTTTACAGTGTAAAATGAAGTGTAGTACTAACGTTTTTAAAATGGGGAACTTATCTGAGTTGCGGTCCTATATGCAAATACAATGGAAAATATAAAATGTTAATTATTGATGTTTAATAAGGATCAGGATAAACAAATAGGCCGAATAGATGTTTATTCAGGGAGAAATAACTTACAACATAGACAGATGAACACCAGCAGGTTCCTGGTCCCAAGGATGCCTCCGGATGTACCCCTGTCCCCGTGCTGCAAGCAAGAGAGCTCTCCGAGCCTCTCCTCAGCCTTAGTTCCCCCAGGTCACGACCGGCCCTGTCTCCACCCCCCAATGGGCGTGGTCTATTCCAAGGTGCCCACTACAGTTAATAGTGATGACTTATTTTCTTCAATTGGATAAAGAGAAGTCTAGGTGGGTATGAATAGACATGGACAGTGATAAGACTGGAAGATACCTAAGTGGCGAAAGTTGACCACCTTGGGGGAAAGAATATGCATGCAGGCCTTTGAACTTAGTTTGTAACTAAGGATGACCTTGGTTAGCCTACCTCTGCCTCCTATTAAACTGCTTCTTTTAGTCTCTTCTGTTTGTTTTGCTTTGTGAGATAGGGTCTCTACATACCCCTGGCTGTCCTGAAACTATGCAGACCACCAGGCTGGCCTTGAAGCCACAGACATGCACCTGCCTTTCTCTAGTTCTGGGAGTAAAGTCAACACTGCCACACCCAGGCGCTCAACTATTTAAGTACTTGTCATAGTCTATCATTGCTGAAAATAGAAACAACAGCAAAAGTTGTTATCAAGAGATAGATATGTAGTGCTTCAGAATTGTGATTGTCACTGAGCTAAATAGCAAGACCCTTTCTCAAAAACCAAGTCATCTATGGCAGATAAACGTCTTGGTCAACTGTAGTTAACCCTGTGTGCGCCGGGTGCCCTCCCACCTGTAACCCTGGAACTCAAGTTACAAACAATTGTGAGCCACCCTATGGATGCTGGAAAACGAACCCAGGTCCTCTAGAAGAGCAGCCAGTGCTCTTAAGTGCTGAGCCATCTATCTCTGTAGTCACCTCTCAGATTATTTTAATGTACACTCATGTTATATAAACTTAGGAGGGCTGTCGTGGCTGTGCTCCAGAGGTTCTAACAGGCTGTGTCCTCTTCATTTGACTCTTTTATAAAACGTCCTTTGATTTCCTGGACGATTCACTGTTCAATACGTATTGTGTAATCTTAATTTTGTTGTGAGTCTTTGTGTCCTGTGATATTATTTTTGGAGATTTCAAGTTTCAGTGAGGAAAAAAAAAGTGTATTTGATATCTGGGGTGGGGGGCGGTGTTCTAATTGATCCATAGTGCAATTTAGCTCTGGTCTTTATTTGCTTAGTTTTAATGTGAGAGACCTATTTAAATATAAGAGTGTAAGGAGTACGGTTTTTCCGCCTGCCGCCACTGGTCTTGTCCCGCCGCCGCGCCAGCCCCAAATAATACACAGACTCTGTATTTGATACAATGCTATTGGCCAGGTGCTAGTTTCTTATCGGCTAGCTCTGTCTTAAGTATTAACCCATTTCTATGTATTTCCACGTGGTCTTACCGAGAGCAATGGTGGTTCTGCTTTCTCCAGTCTCTCCATCTTGACTCCTCCTTACTACTTCCTATTTCCTCCTTGTCTCCTAGTCCCTCCTGTCTTCCTTTCCTATTGGCCAACAGTGCTTTATTCATTAACCAGTATGAGAAACACATACAGAATGACATCTCCCATCATAAGAGTCGGGTATTCAAGCCCCCCACTATTCCTGTGTGAGGACCTGTGAAACATTGTATGCCTCAAATTAGTGTGTTTTAGTATGAAATCGGGGGCTCCAATATTCAGTGTGTGGAATATTTTTCTTGAATTGTTCCTTTAGTAATATGTGGTATCCATTTTTATATTTTTTCATATTTATTTATGAATATAAGTGCATGACAGAAGAGGGTGTCAGACCCCACTATATAGATGGTTGTGAGCCACCGTGTGGTTACTGGGAATTGAACTCAGATCTCTGGAAGAGCAACCATTGCTTTTAACAGCCAAATCATCTCTCCAGCACTCCTTTTTATATTTTCTAATTAGCTTTGGTATGACATTTACTTTATCTGATACTTGCTTGGTAAATTCTTTTCCGTTTTTTGATAGTTTTTTCCTTTGCTAGTTGAATGTGTTTTAGGAGACACCATATTATTGACTCTTGTATTCACTACTGAATTCTATTAAATTTTCAAGGAAGATCTCATACCAATTCGTAACTTGCTCCACAAAATAGAAAGGAAAACAGCATTTCATACCCAAACCAGGGAAAAGCAGAGCAACTGAAAACTACAGGTAAATTTCTTCTTTTTTAATGGCTACAGACAAAAATTTCAACAAAATGCTTACAAATTGGGGTCTGGACAGATAGTTTGGTGGTTAAGAACAGGAGCTGGTCTTCCAGAGGTCCTGAGTTCAAGTCCAGGATCCACCTGTAATGGCTCACAACCATCTGTAATGAGATCTGGCGCCCTCTTCTGGCCTGCAGGGATACATGCAGACAGAACACTGTAGACACAATAAATAAATAAATCTTTCAAAAAAAAAATTTGCAAACTAAATTTAGGAACACGTTAAGATCATACATTATGAGCAACTGGGCTTCATTCTGGAGTGGTAAGTTTAGCTCAACATAGATAATCAAAAATATAATATACTATATAAACAAACTTAAAGGCAGAAACCACATAATGTCAAAAAGGCTTTGATAAAGTTCAACACGCCTTTGTTCTGGAGATGTTAGGAATAGATGGATTGGATCGTACCTTAAAATAATAGGGGCTAGAAACAAAACTATAGCCTGTGTCTGGCCCCTGGCCTCGTTCTCTCCTTTTCTTGATCCTTGCTTGCTCTTTCTCTAGCCTAGACTTCTACTATTTATTCTCTCTGCCTGGCAGCCCCCTATTTCTCTCTCCTGCCTTGTTATTGGCCATTTGGCTCTTTATTAGACCAATCACGTTTTAGATAAGCAAAGTAACATGCCTTTACAGAATTAAACAAATACTACATAAAAGAATGCAACATAATTTTCTACCATTAAACAAATATTCCACTGCATAAATGAATGTAACACATCTTAAAATAATATTCCACAACAAAATCGATATTTAAAAGAATACAAAGCCAGGCATGGTGCCCCAAGCACACCTTCTTCTATCCCAGTACTCAGGAGGCAGAGGCATGCAGAGCTATGTGTTCATGGCCAGTCTGATCTACATAGTAAATTCCAGGTGATCCAAGTCTACCCAGCCTTGCCTCAATAAATAAACAAAAATAAAAAAGTGTGCATCCCCAGGCCACTTTGGATCACCTCTAACTTGACCAATGTATCTACTTTAATAAGTCTGTTAAAGTTTGGTGGAAAGTGGGGTGCTATTGCATTTCCTATTTATAGTTGCTATTTTGTTCTGGCTACCTCACTAGAGATGACCACTTAAAAGTTTTAGTGAGTTGAAAGTCTTTATTTCAGCCCCCTGGGTCCACACCCAGGCATTTAGGGACCTGGGTGTATTCCTGAGTGTCCAGATCACCAGATTTTTAAAGGCAGCAACCGGGTCACCTCGCTCAACAGCTTCAGCCAAGTTTTGGAGCAGCAGAAGAGCAGTTAGCTGGAGGGGTTTCTGCACCAACAGGCAGTTTAACAGAAGCCAAGCTTGTTGACCTCTGGATCCTGATCAGAGTAGGTGATCTCCTGTGAGATCCTCCACCCATGGCCTCAGCAAGAGTTCATCAATTTCAGCCTAGGTCATGGCTGGGGGTGGGGAGCTTCATCACTGAGGTCCCTTTATTTGCAACCCCGGGGGTCACCACCACTCCCGCCACATGCACGAAATTCAGTGACTGAGCACAAGGTCAGACGCAAGGTTCCAACTACACGTGCGGGGCTCCCGCCGACGCCCTGACCACACCCGCCCCGGGCGGCGCCGGGCAGCAGCCGTGGTCCCCAGGGCCCGCGCGACCCCAAGTCGTCCTCGGAGACCCCCGGCGTGCGATGGGCCGGGAGCCCGAGGCCGGCCGGAAGCGGCCCGGGGCGACTTCCGGACTTCAGACCCGGAAGTGGGCGCGGCCCGGGCGGGCGGGCGGGCGGGCGGGCGTGGCCGCAGGGCTCCGAGCTCCCGCATGGACGCGCCGCTGCCGCCGCGCGAGTCGGCGAGGCTCGTGGCGGAGAAGAGCCGCGACGTGCGCGTGGCCCCCGAGGGCGTGCGCCGGGCGGCCGAGCTGCTGCTGCCCGCCGCCTCGGCCTGGCGCGTGCAGCACTGGCGGGCCCTGCACGAGCTCAACCCGCGCGGGGCCGACGAGGCCGCGCTCGCCTGGGTCTTCGTGGTGGACTCGCTCAACTTCTCCTTCTGGGCCGAGCAGGAGGAGCGCGGGTGTGAGGTGCGCTACGGCGGCACCGCCTACACCGGCTACTGGGCCCTGTGCGCGGCCGTCAACCGCGCGCTCGACCGAGGTGGGTGTGGCCCGCCCGCCCCTGCCGCCCCTGCCGCCCCTGCCGCCCCGCCCCGCCCCTGCCGCCCTGTGCGCGGCCCCAGGAGCCCCACCCGAGGGAGGAAGCAGCAAGTCACTCAGCAGAGGTGACAAAGCCAGAGCCGAGGAGGGAGGGAGGAAAGGAAGGAAGGAAGGAAGGAAAAAGGAACTCAGTTTAGAAAGAAAGGAAGGAAGGAAGGAAGAAGAGAGAAGGAAGGAAAGAAGAAGAGAGAAGGAAGGAAGGAACTCAGTTTAGAAAGAAAGGAAGGAAGGAATGAGGAAGAGAGAAGGAAGGAAAGAAGAAGAGAGAAGGAAGGAAAAAGGAACTCAGTTTAGAAAGAAAGGAAGGAATGAGGAAGAGAGAAGGAAGGAAGGAAGGAACTCAGTTTAGAAAGAAAGGAAGGAAGGAAGGAAGAAGAGAGAAGGAAGGAAAGAAGAAGAGAGAAGGAAGGAAAAAGGAACTCAGTTTAGAAAGAAAGGAAGGAAGGAATGAGGAAGAGAGAAGGAAGGAAGGAAGGAACTCAGTTTAAGTTGGACGCACTGGATCCTGTCTGCAGTCCCAGCACTCCGGCCCTCAGCAGAACGGATCGCTACGGTGTCTAACCCAGCCTGACCAAACGTAGGTAGTTTCAGGCCACTCAGAGAGCGAGACCCTGTCACAGAAAAACAAATGAAAAATGAATGCCGCCCGAAGGAGAAAAGGACAGATTATAGGACGTTTTATGCAAGGAAAGTACACGTGTCACATGGCTACTCTAAGTGCACAGCCAGGGCTGGCATCCCCCCAGATTGTTCCTTGTGCACCTCTGATTCGTGTCTGGAGCACTCGTTTGGTTATTCGTTTTAGAGTTATTTATTTTGTTTGTATTTCTTTGTTTTTTTTTTTTGTTTGTTTGTTTTCGCCTGCATGCACGTCTGCACCGTGTGCATGCAGTGGGCATCGATCCCCTTAAACTTCAGTTACAGAGGGTCTTGAAGCACCATGTGGGTGCTGGGAATTGAACTCTGGTCCTCCGAAAGAAAGGCAAAGAGGATCTGTCTCACTGAGTAGCCCTGGCTTGTATAGAATAGACTACTCCCACCCTGCTTCCTCTCTACCTCTGAATGCTCGGATTAGGCCAGCGCCACCACACCCCGTCTTTAACACACATTTGATTCCATGTGATTTGCAACTTCTAGAAATCTGTGCATTTCCTCTTTAAAGGGATACCAGTAACCAGCGCCTCCTACTACGCCACGGTAACTCTTGATGAAGTTCAGGATATATTTCGTTCAGACACGGCCGTGCCCATGCCTTTAATAGAAGAGAGGCATCGCATTCTCAACGAAACTGGGAAAATTCTGCTGGAGAAGTTTGGAGGCTCCTTTCTTAATTGTGTCCAAAAGAGCAAAAAAAGCGCACAGAAGCTAATGCACCTGGTTGTTGAAAATTTTCCTTCTTACAGAGACGAGACAGAATTTGAGGTGAGTTTGTTTGATTTTAGAATTAATAATAATTCCGAGTTAATGCTTTTTTCTCCAGAACTTTTTTACAGGGTTTCTCTTGTGTCCAAAATTTGAAGCTTGTTTACTGTGGACCAGGAGAAATAACAAAATTTGCATTATGTTGTGTTTTCCAGTCAGAGATTTCCTTTCTTTTGTCTTTTATTCCTTTACAATGTTTTGATGCAAGCAAGCCTTTAATCCCAGCATTTGGGAGGCAAAGGCAGGCAGATCTCTGTGAGTTAGATACCAGCCTGGTCTACTAGCTAGTTCCAGAACAGCCTCCAAAGCCACACAGGGAAACCCTGCCTCGAAAAACAAAACAAACAAAAAAAAAAATTTCAACCCTCAACACAGTGCTGTCACTTGATGACAAAGAAGCACTTTCAGTCACTTATAAAGTTCACGGAGCTGTGTGAAAATCAGAACGTGGAAAGTATAGGTTTTTCTCTTTGAAAAAGTATTTCTTGAAAAGCTTGGTTTGTTTTTGTTTTTTTCCTTACACACTGTTCTTCTATAATAGTTTGTTCTGCAATAGAAAACAATGCACATTTGCTTTATGCCCCCCCCAGTACACAGCTAGGTTTCATGTTTGTAAAGTCCCTTTGGGGTCCCCGTCACTGCACACTTTCTGATTTATGTTTTATGTGTGTGACCTGTGAACTCAGCTTCCTGTGCTCTGCCATCCGCCATGCCCTGTCGCATGTGTCCACTCCCCTCCGCCTCCCAGAGACTTTCCGTCTCTTCTTTCTACACTGCTCCAGGCCATGGTGCAGCTTAGAAAGACGCCACACAAAAGAATTAAATGTTCCGCCCCCACAAGTGCCTTCTCTGTTTTGGGTGTGTTTATTTTGTGTGTGGATGTTTTACTTGCCTGTGTATATGTGTGCCGTGTGCATGCCTAGTACCCAGGGAGTTCAGAAGAGGGTGCTGGGTCCCCAGGAACAGGTTTTAGGAATGGTTATGAACCATCACATGGTTGCAGGGAACCAGCCTCCTCCTGTCCCAAAGTCCTTAATAGCGGCTTTAGAAATGTTTACTTCATGAAAGTAGGTAAACCGTGAGGGTTATTTATTTATTATGTTTTCAGGTCAGGGTTGTATGCTGTAATGCACAGTGTGAGTGTGGAAGTCAGAGAACATTTGGGGTTCCATTTTACCATGTGGGTCCCGGGAACTGAATTCAGGTCATCAGGCTTGGCAGCACCGACCTTAGCTTGCTGAGCCATCTTGCTGTTAGTTAGGTCCTTTTATTTTCTGTAAAAGGTTTATAAAATCTTTGTACAGATTAAGATACATGGGACAAGGATAAAACATGGGTTATATAGTTTATTCTGGGAGAAGTCACTTAGAGGAGAAACCAAGGACCACAAGTTCCCATTCCAGGGGTCCACACTCAGGCTGCTCTCTGTGACCTGGCCAGAACTAAGCCTGTCCTGGACCCCACACGCTCCCCGTGTACCTGTTTGGGCATGGTCAGTGCCACAGGTGCAGCTGGGTGGCCTCTCAGTACATAGCTTAAGAGGAGGACCGTTGCACCCTTGATTTGTTTTTTGAGACAGTCTATGTCTCTGTTGAGTGTCCTTTTCAAATGCTCTCAGAAGGCACTGTGGGTGATATGTATCCTCCAATCACCAGGGCAAAAGGATATCTTTTTACAAACGGGCCCAGATCCTTGTGGCGGACACGTGGAGTGTGTTGGAAGGGAGGGGTGACGGCTGCTTTGAGGACATTTCCAGCATCACCATGTTTGCTGACTACAGACTGCCTCAGATCCTCGTGCACCTTGGCGCCCTGAAATACTCGGATGCACTGCTAAAGAGGCTCCTCAGAGGTACGCGGCCTACACCCTTGCCTGCTTGCTCTTGTTTACAAACAGCACTGTGTGCCGGGGCAGGCAGGGGCTTTCTTCACTCTGGAGGTAGAAACGCAACAGTGTGTGTTCCACAGCAGCCTGGGCTACAGGGGGAGACCCTTTGTTGAGTGGGACATGGTAACTCACACCTTTAATCCCAGTACTCAGGAGGCAGAGGCAGGCGGCTGTCTGTAAGTGCAAAGCCAGCCTGGTCTGCAGAGCGAGTTCCTGGACAGGTTCCAAAGCCAGGGAGAAACCCTGTCTTGAAAAACCAAAAATAAATAAATAAATAATAAAATTGTAATGCTCATGTCTAATAAATGATTAATTATTGGACACCTTAAGTTTTTAAACAGTGCCCAGTATAGCAGAAGGTGCTCTGCTTTGAAATTTAGCTGAAGAACAAAAACAGAAATTAATTTCAATCAATACCACCGGTCACTCTAAGAAAAAGGATGAACAGAGTGACTGAGTCAGGGCGATGTTGAGACTGAGCAGTTCAGCGGTTTACCCCGATGGAACACTACAGAATCAGACAATGAATGAAAGGTAACGTGTTCATAAAGATGCCGTGGTTACTTTAGGTTCAGGGCTGTGCTCGTGGTTGTGAAGGACTCCAGCAGGCCCAAGCATAGCAAACATGGTGCCAGCAGGTTTTACCTCTTCCCCCCCTTGGTAAAAACCATTAGATTATTCCAGGTGGTGGTGGTACACACCTTTAGTCCCAATACTCAGGAGGCAGACACAGGTGGATGTCTGTGAGTTCAAGGCCAGCCTGGTCTACAGAGTGAGTTCCAAGACAGCCAGGACTGCACAGAGAAACCCTGCTGGGGGGGGGGGGGAGCCCTTTAAATTTATGACTACAAATTTACTTGAGGAACTAGTAAGTGCCAAGTGTAATGCTCCATCCTGCGGGTACTGAGATAAGCCAGGCAGAGCCTGTGTCACTGAATTTAACTTGTCATCTTACATCAGTGCCTGGGTTTACAAATGATTCTTCTTTCCCTCCTTTAACCCTTGCAGGAGAAATGCTCTCAAATGGAGAGAAACACGAGGTGGAAATTCGAGGCTGCTCGATTTGGTGTGTGGAGTTGATCCGGGACTGTCTTCTGGAGCTTCTGGAAAAAAGGGGCGAGAAACCTCAGGGTGAGATCAACTCCATCCTTGTGGATTATTACCTGTGGGACTACGCCCGTGACCACAGGGACGACTTGAGAGGGGTCCCATTCCATCGCACACGCTGCATTTATTACTGACCCTGAATGTAAATGGATCCCCTGGAAATAATTGCACTTTTAGATCATACGGTCATTTGCACAATTTTGATTTGATATAAAGATTGAAATGATAAGCACAGGTAATTGATTATCCGGTCTTAGTTTCTTTTTCCTTGGTGTAGCGTTGTGCATCCCCACAATCTCATAGTCATACTGTGTAGTCTTCAACGATAATACCCATTAATACCCATGCCTTTCGTTGGTAGCTTTTCTCAGCTTGTAGTCATCTTCTTCCCTTAACCTTTTTTGTCCTTTTATGGTCCTGGGGATCAAGCTGATGGCTTTGTGTGCTAGGCAAGTGCTCTACCACTGACTCACACCCAGCTTAGTTATTTTCTGCGTGCTATAACAGTTTAACACTAGATGGAGATAGTCTTTGGAGTGCTGCTTTTACTAAGATAACTTGCTGTACGTGGTTTGACTGCACATACACGTAAACCCAGTTCTCAGAAGGTGGAAGCCGAGGGATCGGGAGTTCTAGGCCATCCTGGACTGTCTGAAAAACCAAAAGTAAGTGCTAGAGAGGCAACTCCCCAGTTGTGGACATTTGCATCTCTTGTAATTTGCATCTCTTATAGAGGACCTGAATTCGGTTCCCAGACATACACTGGGCACTAACTTCCAGGAACTCTAGTTCCAAGAGATCCAGTGCCCTCTGCTGGCCTATACTGTACATACACGTTAAAAAAAAAAAAAAAAAAAAAAAAAACACCTGGATGGAGTACAGTGAGTGCCTATCATGAGCAAGGCCCTGGTTCAAGTCCTAGCACTAAGCCTAACCTAGAATACTTAAGAACTTGTATTTTTAATACAGCATTTTAATTAATCCTGAGAATTTCATATCATGTACTTTAATCATATTTACCCCCTCAATCCTCTCCTAACAACCTCAACACCCCCAAGACCTTGTCTTAGAAAAAAATTAAAAAGGTCAAGCTTGGCGTTTTATTCTGGGCTTATTATTGGTAATACTGGTGGGTTTTGGACATAGTGGCTTTTCAGTTTTGAATATCTGTTTGCCTAAGTTTGTTTTCGGAGTTCACTGGAATTGAGATCTTTGAAACTTTTCTTAAGCCTGGAGTGGAATATTATTAAGATACTTTTCAGGTGTGATTTTAGGAGACTTATGGTGGGATGCTTTCCTGTCACAGAGATGAGTGCTGAAGCTCCAGTAGTGCACGGAGATGAATGCCTTCCCAGTCTTTATTTTACAAACCAATCCCAGTTCCCACTTTCTTCCCCTTCCACCCTCCCATCCCGCCACAACCCCCAACCCTAACCCTCACTGTAACCACATAAATCAGGGGTGCTCTGCACCCAGGCACCTTACTGCCATCTGCTGGACACGTGACCGACCGTGACTGCCTGTGGGAGGGTCTCCTGACTTGAGCAGTACACAGCTTACACGCCTGTCCCTCCTTGTGTGATTGGGGCCGTGACCCTGTGCCCACCCAGGGGTAGGTTCAGTCAGCCACTGTCACGGTCTCCTTGCTTGTGATCAGGAAGGACACAGGGAAGCCCCTCTTCTTGGAGAGTCTGTCAAAGCATGGCAGCTGAGACAATAGTAGCCTTTGTTTTTGTTCTATTCAGGGTTGGGAATGTGACAGGGGCCTCTGTATTCTGTAGGCAAGCATGTTACCACAGAGCCACACCCTCCCCCACAGCAGCCATATTGAGGACACAGAGCTCTGCGGCACCTTCGTCTGTGTGTGAGCTCCGTGAGAGATAAAACACATCTTCAGTTTGTTTCTTGCTCTGCTGTTTGCTGTGTATGCACATGCATGTGCTTGCCATGGCACATGTGTGGGATTCAGAGGGTGGCGTGTAGGTGTTGAGTGCCACTGCCACCATGTGGGGTCCCAGTGACCCAGTGCCTGTCACCTGCCGAGCCATCTTTACCGACCCTCAATTAGTGTTCTGTAACTTATACTCAAAACCATGGTAACCGATAGTTTTCACCTTAATCTTTATACTACTGCCACCGTCTGTACAGGACCTGCACACCTCAGACAGGGTCTCATTACTCAGCCCTGGCTGGCAACTCATGTAGAGAAGGCTGGCTTCACACTCACAGAAATCCACCTGCCTCTGCCTTCTGAGTGCTGGGATTAAAGGTGTGAACCTTCATACCCAGTATAACTATTTTTAAAAGATTTAATGACTGTGTGTATGTGTGCACGCGTGTGAGCCTGTGTGTGCGCGCACATGCATGTGCGTGTGTGCATGTGTGTGCCTGTGTGTGCACTCCTGATGGGTCTGTGTGCACCATATGCACACAGGTGCCCTTAGAGGCCAGAGTCATCAGATGTCTGTGTAATTAAAGTCACGGGTTTCACTAATGCCTCTGCCTGCCTGCCAAGCTCCATCAGAGCAGAGGGCACTGTCCAAGCTACTTTCAGACACTGTTTTCTCTATGTTACAAACACACTTGTGCATTTGGAAGCCAGGCCACCGCACATCTCTAGTAGCTTTACACATTTTCTGTGGCAGAGCTCAGTCTGTGGACAAGAACATCTGTAGTCTCAGAACTCTAGAGGCAGAGGCAGGAGGATGGCTGTGAGTTTCAGGCCAGTGTGTGCTATAATGAATTCTACCACAGTCCACCCTGAGCCATAATATAAGGCCCCATCCAAACAGTAACAACAAAAACCTCAGTCAGTCAGCATATGGGGAACAAAAATTTCATATTCAGGTGGTGACCTCCAAGTTTCTCTTGATTTTTATAATCTAAAGAGCAGCTGTTACAGACCCCATCACTCTCTGCCCATTTCACTGTCCTCAGGGTGGACTAACCAGTATCTGTGTTGTAGGGCTGAAATTCAGTTTTTAAAATTGGATTAAGTTGCAATTTTTTAACTTTCATGTGTATGAGTGTTTTGCCTGTGTGTAGATGTATGGACCATGTGTGGTGCCCAGGGCCTGCAGAGGTCAGCAAAGGGCATCAATCTCCTGGAGCTAGAGTTGCGAACCGTTGAGAGCCATTGTGTGGGTGCTGCGAACCGTACTCAGGTCCTCTGTGAGAACAAGTGCGCTTAGCTGCTGAGCCACCTCTCCTAGTTAATTAAGTTCCATGAAGCCTGGGTTAGGATGAAGTGAAGTAATGGGTGATGAGGCTGGAGAGAGATGGCTATGAGTCAGGAGCGCCGGCTGCCCCTGCACAGGACCCGGGCTCTATTCCCAGCACCCACGTGGCAGCTTACAACCCTCTGTGACCCCAGTTCTAGATCTGATGTCTTCTGCAGGCTTCCTCAGGCACAAGACATACATGTGGTACATAAAGATACACGCAGACAAACATACAGACATATAAAAATAAATCTTTTTAAAAATAATAGGTGATAATGGTATCTGAGAAGCCTAGAAACTCTTTAAGAACTGGATATAGTATTCAGTATAAATGAATAACTGCACATAGTCTAAGGAAAGGAACTATATTTGGTTTGGGGATGTTGGTAGGGACCAATTAATTCATCACTGTCAAAACTGACAAGTAAGAAGGGGAAAGCTTTTATCCCTGCACAAACACCGTTTCAGGGAGACGGGGGTGGGGGGGTGGGAAAGCCTTCATCGTAGAGTAATCTGAGCTAATGGATGTAAAATGACTATTACTGAGCACTACTGTTCTGCAATCTAATGTACTTAACATAATTGAACGATTATCAGTGACCACTAAAGACGCTAGCTGAAATATTGATGAGGGCTGGGGAGGTGGCTCAGAGGTTGAGAGCACTGTCTGCTCTTCCAGAGGACCAGGGTTCGATTCCCAGCTCCCACATGGGATCTCACAACCATAGGAATCTCCACTTCCAAGGAACCCAGTGCCCTCTTCTGACACAGGCACACATGTGCATGGACATACATGCAGGCAAAACACCTGCCCACGTAAGTGTCTTTAAAAGCAGGTTGTGCGACACCAGCCATCTGGTATGCTGCAGCAGGGGTGCACAGCCACCCCAATGTTGCCATGAGCTCTGGGCGTGGCTCTAATAAAGACCGTAGTTTACAAAAGATGCAGGCCCTAAAAGAAGTGAAACGAAAACACAGATACGCTGGACCAACTCTAGTTTAAGAGATTCTGCTGGGCAGTGGTAGCACATTCCTTTAATCCCAGCACTCTGAAGAGAGAGGCAGGCAGATCTCTTGAGAGTTTTGTCAAGAGTTCCAGGACAGCCAGGGCTATAGAGAAACCCTGTCTCAAAAAAAAAAAAAAAAAAAAAAAAAAAAAAAAAGGGGGGGGGGGGAGAAAGAAATTCTGTAATAAATGATGTACCTTCTTCCCTCACCCTCCTCTCTTCCCTTTAACGGGCTCTAATGACATATCCAAATCCGTCCTCATACTTGTGATCCTCCTGCCTCAGCGTTTCCAGTGCTGGATTACATTTCACCAGACACAACATAAGATTCCATTTAACAAACAAATGGCAAAACAAACAACCCATAAAGAAAGTAGGAGCATTTGGGAGATTGTCCACAAATATCCTAAATTTCTGGAGTTTGGGAGATTGTCCACAAATATCCTAAATTTCTGGTCTCCCATTAAATCCCTTTCATCAGGGAAAACATAAATTCTGCCAGGTGGTCAAGAAGAACCTGGGTAACAACTAGTGAAAAAGAGTAACTGAAGCGTATCTAACTATTCTTTTATCAATTATAAAACCTGGGAGTCAGATGTCGGGGTAAAAACCTGAATGATGAGAGAAGCCATAGAGAAGCAGTCACCTGAGCCTGGGCCCTGCTTTCCCCAGGAGAAGTTAACCACAGGCTCTGCTCTGCTTGCTCCTGAAGGAGTGGTTAACGCAGCCCCAGCCCCAGCTCTACCAGCTGGAGAGAGAGACCCCTGAAGCACAAGCTCCGCCTCTGCCGATTAGAGGAAGAGATGCATAGACACCAAGGTAAGAGCACACTCAACAGCATAAAGAGCAGTAAGGCACCACTAGAAACTATGGTGCTACTCCAGCAATACCTGAACATCCCAACACAGATGAAGCAGAAGAAAATAACCTAAAAATAACTTAATTGAGATGATTGGGGCCCTTAAGGGGGAAATTAAAAATTCCCTTAAAGAAATGGAGGAAAAGA